AAAAAAAAAAAAAAAAAAAAAAAAGAGTACAGGAAAAGACTTCACTCTGAAGAAGAGTAGTCAATTTATGGGGATGGGAGTCTTTCCAGAATGATTGGGGCAAACAGAAGACCAGAGGGGAAAAGACGAATTGAGAGTACAGAAGTGGTATGGGTAGGAATTAAAGGTACTCATCCTCTGGAGAAAATGTAACTTCTGTACCTACAGAACTCAAGCTTATAACAAGAATCCAAACTTGGCCAGAGGGACTGGTGGCCATTCAATGGGAGATACCAAACGCAGTGAGACAAGAGTACCAGTGAGGCAGAGAAAAAGGGAAAGGTTAGATCTACCACACCCTAACAGTGACAATGGAAACCTTCAGTTCCACATGAAGCTAACGTTGAGTAAACACTTAGCGTGTGGGATGACAATGAAATGCACGGTTGGGGCTCAGTGGGGAATTGGGAAAAGGGTATGGAGGGAGTCAGGTTAAATGGAAATGTTTTGGAATAGAATGGATTTGGAGGTTGTATGAGACAAGTGGGAAGCCTATGATAAATGGAAGCTAGAAGAGTGGAATGACCCTTGGTTTAAGAAAACACAAAAGATTTTCCAATTTGATCCCCTGTAAATTAAGGGCAGAATTAAAGTCCCATTTTGGGCAGCAACATATTTGTCACAGAATAAGAGACATGCCACACAGAAGTATACTGGGAGAAAGAATGCTTGGGCCTGGTTTAGAGGAAATGGAATGTAGGTGTAGACCACTGCAGTAATTGGGAGGCAGAGGTGCAAAATGCAAAATGGCAAATCAAGAGACCTTCATGAGCTTAAGAAACTCAGGACAGTGAGTTATTTCCAGGTGGTGTTCCAGTCACACAGATGATGCCCTGAAAGAATATCTGGGTGGTAGTGTGTGAATTCTGCAGATTATACAATGTTTGCCTTACTTGTGTTCCTTTTAGATGCCAGTGAGTCAAAGGTAAAAATATCTATAAAATAATTAAAAGCATACAGTTGGATCTCAGGAAACTAAGGACTGAATTGGGAAGATTTAAAGTTGAAAGGTAAAAGTGACAGTGATTAAGTTACCAACAAAGGAAATGTAAGAGGTAAAAAATGTTGAAGGAAGAAAAGGCAATGAAATACAAGAGCAGCCAAAAAGGAAGAAGAAAAATAGTGGTAACAGTTTAACAGAAGCTGAGGAGAATAGTTTCAAAAGTGAATGAGCCCAGCTGGCCTGGCTCAGCAGTTGAGCATTGACCTAGGATCCAGGAGATCGTGATTCGATTCCCAGTCAGGGTACATGCCCGGGATGCGGGCTTGATCCCCAGTCGGGGGCGTGCAAGAGGCAGCCGATCAATGACTCTCTCATCACTGATGTTTCTATCTCTCTCTCTCTCTCCCCCTCTTCTTCCTCACTCTGAAACCAATAAAGACATTTTTTAAAAAAGTGAATAAAAACAATGTCAAAAACTATGAAATTATGCAGTAAGATTTTTAAAAAGTGAATAAATGTGGTGCATAAGTACATGACAGATAAAGGGGTTAGTTGGCAGGTGGGATGATACTCAAATTTAAGGGTAAAGAAATAAATCACAAATAAGCTAGTAACAACACTTTTTACCAATGTAAAACAGTGAGAGAAAGGCAAGAAATAAGTAGGCAGTAGGGACAACTCTCCCTCATCTTAAAAAACCCCTCAAAATATCTCTAAGCAAAAGAACCTAGTTGAGAGAAGAGATGAGGTAGCAAGTTAACTGAAAAAGGTTGTGGAAGAACTAGAAGAGATAAGGGACAGGGTTAACTTTGTAGAAGTGGAACATCATTGATTTCTGAGATCAATGTGTGGATGAAGGTAATGGGAAAAACATGTGTTCAGATATAAACTAGCTAGGAAAGAATTCTAGAACAGCCAGGATGGTGTGGTTCAATTGGTTGAGCACAGTCCCATGTATCAAGAGGTCATCAGTTCGATTCCTGGTCAGGTCACATGCCCGGGTTTCAGGCTCGACCCCCCCGTAGAGGGGCACGCAGGAGGCAGCTGATCGATGTTCTTTTCTCTCTCTCTCTCAAATCAATAAGAACATTGGGGGAAAAAACAAAAACGAATCCTATAACAAAAACAAAGCAGCAATTAAAACAGATGACCCTGAGGATAAGGTTGACTATAAAGTCAGATGAGTGCTATTGGACTTTGGAAAATGAAGTCAAGCCCTGGCGGGTTTGGCTCAGTGGTTAGAGCATGGCCTATGAACTGAAAGGTCACAGTTTTCATTCCCAGTAAAGGGCACATACCATGGTTACAGGTTCCCCATCCGGTCTGGTCCAGAGCACATGTGGGGGCAACAAATCGATGTGTCTCTCTCACGTTAATGTTTCTCTCTGCACACCCCTCCTCCCTCCCTTCCACCTTCTCAAGAAATCAATGGAAAAAATATCCTCAGGTGAGGATTAAAAAAAAAAGGAGTCAAAGCCCCAAAGTGATAAGGAAATAGTCATTCAATAGAAATAATCTGTGTATATGAGAGTAAAATGGTACGTGGTAAGAAACGGGGTACAATAACTTAAAAGTTGATGTGAAGTGCTGGCACTAAAGAAGTCAGGTACATAACGTTAGGCTAACCAAGTGGGAGGGACGGGGGGACTGTGAGGGAGGCACTGAAGCCATCAAGAAAGGAGAGAGAATTCTTGAAAGGAGCAGCTGATAATGACCAGAAAGTAACATAAAGGTTATGTTATAATCTATGAGAAAATCACTTTTATTATACTTTAATTCTAACTTAAAACAACAACAACAAACAGCTAGTTTATATCTGAACAATTTTTAAAAAATAAAAATCCAGCCCTCACTGGTTTGGCTCAGTGGCTGGAGCATCGGCCCTCGGACTGAAGGGTCTCAGGTTTGATTCTGGTCAAGGGCAGGTACCTCCCTAGCAGGCTCGAACCCTGGCCCCTGTTGAGGAGCATTTGGGAGGCAACCAATTGATGTCTCTCTCAAATCAATGTTTCTCTCCCTTTCTCCCCTTCTACTCTCTCTAAAAAGCAATGGAAAAAATATCCTTGGGTGAGGATTAAAAAAAATAAAAAGTAAAAATAAAAATTCACCCTGAAAGATATTTCTGCTAATGAGATACAAATGAATGTGGATTGTGAAGGCTTTCTCTGCATAGAGTAAATACTAAGTACTCAAATAATCTTAAGTTGAGTGAATTAATGAAAAAATTCCAACAATGGCATCATAACTAGAAGAGTCTCTCGTTTTACTGACTGAAACAAGGACAGATAGCTTGACAAATAGGTGGACAGACAGATTAGAGAGAGAAAAAGAGAGAGAGAGGGAGAAACAGACTCAATAAAGTTCTTAGCACCGCTGAAAATCCTGGAGTCTCTCAAAGTGACTGCTTTGAAGAGAATAACACTCATGAGATTACATGTATTTGTTTGGTAAATATATTTAAAATATTTACATTTTTATCTTTAAAAATGTTTTTGAAAGTCCTATAGGAAAAAGAAATTCCCATAGAAAATGTATATCTTTAACAGACCTATCCTGATTTCATTAGTCTAAATGTTCTTACAATTTTAGTTACAGTAATTTTATGAGTTAGTATGCTGGATACCAGTACCAGGCATTACTGCTATTGCTAGAAATAGAAATTCTCTATTGCTAGATGTTTTTTAGCTCCTTGAAGAGAAAACTTGGTTTCTAATAGGATAACTGTTTTCAAAAACCAAACTTGCTGAATTATAATTCAATTGGTAATTACAGATGTTTAACTCATCTTACCTCATCATATGATTTACATAGGCTTTGCTACAGCTAGTGTTGTATCTGCAAAAACTACAGTGGACATATGTAGGAAAGTGGTTTGCAAAATCTTTTATTTCGGAACAACACTCAATGCACTTGTGAACTCCCCGACGAAACCTTATGGAGATATAAAGAAAATGATAACAATATATTTTAAAACAAAAATAATAAGGGAGTACTTTATTAATGTTCTGTTAATTAAAGCCAAGCTGTTTAAATTAACATATTTTAACACAAACTTTTAACTTGAAAATTTGCTATGGAACAACAGCTAGAATAAGTATAAACAATCTAATATCAGTTAATACTTGTTACTGAAATAAAAGGAATTAACCAATTCAAATGTCACAAGATATAAGCACAACACATAATAATACCAATGTAGTAGATTAATATTATAGGAAAAATATAGTTAAGTACTGTTTAACAACAGTTGTAAAAAAAATACTTTTATTTGCTTGGCCTTTATGCCATAAGTGATAGCATATGAATGTATGAGAGTTGTGTAATACGGTACATTTATAATAAAGGTTTTATTCTTTTATTTAACATTAAATTAGTACTGTATATCAGGAATAAAAGATTACCTTAAGTTCCTCAATGCTGTATTGACTTTACTTTTTCTATTGCTACTAGCCAAAGTGCTTTGTTTTTTTTGCATATTAGAGATTTTTGATTTGAATTTAGATTTACTTCCATTAGGCTTACTTGCAGTAGGTTTACTTGCATTAGATTTAGTTGTAGTAAGTTTACTTGTGTTAGATTTTGTGGGATTTTTAGCAGCTATACTTTTTGTCCTTGGAGGTGAGGCCTGAAGGGTAGAAGTGTTTGCACTAATGGAAGGTGTAGTTGAAGATCCTGATTGAAGAGGTCCAACTGAAGCTCGAATAGTAACCTACAAAAATGAAGATAATATTCACTTTAGAAAATTAACCCTTGAATTAGTATTAAAATATCACCATATAACAAAAAGTTAAATATCAAGTATTTTGAAAAGAGTAAGTATAAACTATAATTGGATAAGTCTTTCATTTATTTTAAATGTTTAAATGAAATTAAATTTGATGTTTATTTACTTGTAATATTATATTTTTATACTGATATCAGTTAAATGTTGTTATTAATGGGGTAATTAGGAATTATACGAATATTAAAGAGCACATTCTACAGCTATCTTTATGCTCTGTTATAACTAAAAAAATTCACATAGAGGTCAAAATTTAAATCTCAAAGCCTGAAAAGTAACTCTAGAAAGGCCTGTGTTACCCACTGCCCTGCATTACCCACAGTAAATGTGACCTCCTCTTTCCAGGAGCTCATTTGGCAGAATTATGTTTACAAAGGTTATGGGAGGGTATCAATTCAATATACTTCATGGAGAGTTTAATAATATTTAGAATTTCCTTAAAGAGAACTAATATAAAACTTATGATTTAGTATTCAAAAATTAAATTAATTGGTTGACAATGGAAAACACAAACACCTGCCAACACTGTCATTAATCGTATGACTATTTTCCCCCCATTTGTATTAGGAACAGCCTATGAGGAAGTCCTATAAAACATGTTTTGGTATCATACAAAAGCAAAGCACTAGGAATCAGAAGACTTGAAGTTAAATCTCTTACTACTCCTTCTTAGCAATGTGGTCTAGAATATGTAACTTACCCTCGCTAAGCTTCTTTACCTATAGTATGGGGCAGTACCTGCCTTGTCTACCTCATCAGACTGCTGTACGAATTAAATAAAAGAATCTATGAAAAAGTATACTGAGAGCCTAACTCTAAGATACTATAAAAACATTTAGTATCATTATTATTAATATTATTATTGCTATTATCATTAATAAGGGAAAATATGAGAGAGGACTGCACTGCTTACATTCGTGTTATGCATGTCTAGTCCCAGCATGGAATGAATGGATTGCAGGGAAGGATGCTGGATAGCTTCTCTTGCTCTAGGTCTTCAGAGCATGGCTTTATATTGTTTAGTTAATTCAAATAACAGACATACCCACATTCAAAGGTAAGTACCCAAAGCCAAATATAAATGTTTTGGGGATTATTTCACTTTGGATTATCCATGCCTCTGTTTCCCTCCACTGGAGCAAATATTCAAGAGCTGACTGTATATAAAGAAGTCAGAAAAAACAGGAATATAAGGCAAAAAGGGAAAGGTAAATTACAATCATCAGTATGCAGTCAGACATGTGTTTGCTCACTTAAAACACATCCAGCAGCAGAACTTACTTCTCTGAGAGTAGACTCAGTAATAACTTCAATAAATATCTAAGAATCTATGGCATTCAAAGCACTATACTAGATGCTGAGGACACAAAGATAAATAAATCATGATTCCTGATCTCAAACAGTTTAGCAAGATAAAACCAATATATACACTGCCCACAAGAATAGCTCAAAAAGCGGCCCAATGGTCCAGGAAACACAGTATCTAGTTGCACTTTTTACAAAGGAATACCATTCTACCACAGCACACACCAACCACCAAAAAAACAATGGTTAGCGTTTTTTCTAAACATAAGAATGAACACTTGAAATTAGTCTTAATAAAAATCAGAAATCATTTCTTAAAGTACTATATTCAATAGATAAAATGAGGGAGGAGTTGATTTCTATTATCATACCATATGTTAAAATACAACATATCTGAACTCACTTTTGTTCCAGGAGGTAATCCTTCCAGCTGTTTAGGTTTTATAAATGTTCGATGATGCTGAGTCTTGTGATCCATTTTCTCTTTGCCTGTCAAAAATTGCAGTCTGCATTTTGTACAACGATGTATTCCTTTTTTCTATTTAGAAAACAGAAAAAAAGGAAAAATTTCTACAACCACAAGTCCAGTGTCCTGAAACTGCTCTGATTTAACTTTAATGAAACCTAAATAATTTTTAAAATAGCATTTTATATCTCTCATCATAAATATTAGCAAAGTATTATTTCATTTTCTAAAACACACTTTGCATTAGTATTTGGGTTTCAAAAATGTCTGTTACTGTACAGAAGTTGAACATGAAAGTTTATCAACAGGTTTAATGAAAGTTCTCTCAATAGTGGTATGAAAGCTCTTTTAGTTATAATTTTAAAGTATTTAGACACAGGATACTATGAAAATGAGCCCAGAAAAATATAAATTCTTTCTCATTTTTGCTCTTTCCAGTTGGTTAAAGAAATTCAAATATCTAACCAGACATTGAAAGAAAGTTTTTATGGAAATGCTTATATAAAGCAGTGCTATCTAATAAAACTTTCTTCAATAATGAAAATGTTCTAGAGCTGCATTGCCCAATAAAGTAGCCACTAGCCACATGTAGTTTTACTGAACACCTGAAATGTGCCAAGTACATCTGAGGAACTGGATTTTTAATTTATTTAATTTTAATTTATTAAATCTTAAATAGTCACACATGATTAGTGGCTACTACACTGAACAGTGTGAAAACGGAGAGAGATAAATCAAAACTATATACTTACTGACTGAGATACCTTGACTGAGTCCCTCCTCAAAACCAATCCTGTCATTATGCTATAGATGGGAAACAGGACCCAAGAAACATCTAAATCATTTCCCCATAACTAGTTAGTAATATTGTCAGACTCCTGACCCAGTGTTCCTTTGTACTACATAATATTGACTACAATCTCTACCTATATGCTCTCATTAATTTAAAAATTCTGTATGTATGTACATAAAATTATATATGTATACACATACATACAAACTTAAAATAAATACAAAAGAATGTTTTCTCTAAAGTTGCAATCTGCCAAATAAATCATTACCTTTTAAATATAATCAATCGTTTATAACATTCAAATAAGGTAACATACTGGGAAGTAACTAGCATAGTTACTGGTACACAGCAGGCATTTCATAAGTTCTTTACAAAGTTCAAAGCAATATATGAATATAATGTGTTTGTATTACTATTCTAGCTGCATCTTGAGACTATTTTAGAAGTGTGGTACATTGGATTATATAATACGTACAGACACCTTAAAGAAATTCACTTATATTTGGCTCAAGGAAGAGGAAAAAGAGAAAACTTGGGCAATAAACAGATACCAAGACAACATCAGGAAGAAAGTTCTCCAGAATCCAGTTCCCAGGAATCTTTTCTATATCTATAATCACTCCTTAGGTTACCTCATCCAGTTTCATGGCTTTAACACCATCTATCCAACTGCTTACTTGACATCACTATTTGATGTCTAATATACATCTCAAATCAACATGGACAAAACTTAATTCTGGATTTCCTCCCTATGCCCCTGGCCCCAAATTTGTTCTTCCCTCAGTCTTCCCCATATGACAGTATGTAAAAACTCCACCCTTGACCATTTATAAAACTCCATTCTTAAGACAAAAAAACTTGGTCACTCTCACACCCCATTAACAAAACCTGTTGGCTTCACCTTCAAAAACTTTCATAATCTTTCCATTTCTCATCACCTCCAACCACTGCTACCGTATCAGTCCAAGTTATTCACCTGGGCTACTATAATAGCCTCCTATCTTCTCCCTGTTATATTCTTTCCTCCCTATAGTCTATTCTCCCCATAGCTGCCAATGCAGTGATATTAAAACTTGGCAGACCTTTCAAGTGCTTATAATGCTCTGAGTCCTGATTCTGGTTGACAAGGCTCTACATGAACTGGCCTACATTCTATTGCTACAATCATATCTCCTACTATTCCTCTTAGTTTACTCTGCTCTAGCCACAACTGGCCTCTTTTGTTTTCTCTGAGTGCCCCAGATATATATTCACTTCACTGCCTACATAATGTTACCTCTCCCAGATTTCCATATGGTTTCCTCCTTTATTTCCTTCAAAGAGGCCTTTTGACCACTCTCTATACAAAACAGCAACCACTCCTCCAACACCTCCTCAATCCATGGCACTTCCTATCCTCTACATTTCCTTCCACAGTAACTATCACCAGCTAGCATGCATATACACTCAAATATAAACACACATATATTTATTATCTTTCTCCACTATAATACAAATTCCAGAAGGTACAAACTTTGTTTTGTTCATTGTTATAAAGTACTTAAAACAGCACTTGACACATAATAAGGCAACAAATAAATATTTGTTAAAGGGATAGTGAGGCAGAAAACAAGAGAGTGGCAGAGAAAATGCGTATGAGCAGCAGGTACAATTTAATTAATTCAAAATGTCTGATGCTTCATTCAATGAACATTTGTCCAGAGTCCTGAGAGAGAATACATTAATCTATTATTCCCTTAGTTGGACACAAGTGTTGAACATCTCTCATGTGTGTGTATGCATTTCAATGTGCTAAGGCTGATAAAGATACTGTACATATTTTTAATAACATGATGTTCAGTCAACAAAAGAAATAGTGATCATTCCGAGGGTAGATAAATAATTGTTTATGCTGAACTTTTTGACAAGCATACTACATTGTTTGGGAGACTTGAGGGATTTAAGGTAATTCTGACTGTATGTATTTTCTGCCCTAATACAGTTAATACCAATGTGAAATCTGACTCTGTGGTAGAGCAACAAAAGGTTGGGCTCTGAAGTCAAATTTTAACTCTGTTTTTTATTAGGTAATGTGACATTGGGCAAGTTACTTTCTCTAAATCTTTGTTTCCTTATCTATAAGTCAGAAATAATAATATACATAGGGTGATTGTAAGGATCAAACAAGATAATGCATGTAAAACACCTGCTGCTGCCATAAACAATTGTATATCTTAACTGCCTATTGTTTTCATTCAAGATCTAATGAGTATAACACATCCAAAATCACTTTCACTATTCTTAGAAGTCATACAAACTGAGTTGTCAGCTCTAAAATCACCCAAGACTAATAATACAACCTCTTCAAGAAAAGTTACAACCAAAATCTTCAAAGACAATATAATGAGCCATAGAGTCAACAATTCTTACTGTCTAGTATCGCACTAATAATGTGTCATCTCAATTACAAGTTTATAATTCTGCTCAGCTAAGGTTTTCCAGTCTTTTGTAAATAATTATATAAATTTTAAAAACCCTGAAGGATGCCTGATTATCCTTCTTATTAACAGATTTTCCCCTCTCTACTGCTGGCTATCTACCTCCTAGGTACTTCAAACAAACAACAACAAAAAACTGGGAACCCAAGGCAAATTAAGACATAAAACTTAGAGTATAAAAACTGACTATAAATCACATAGCCCACATAGTGGGCCCACACGTTTCTTTCATAAGTATCATTCTCTTCACATCTATATTTTACTCTAGAGCTTAGTAAAGCATACGGAAAAAATTGTGTGAAAAACCCCATAATGAAATAGAACTACTATCTTATATCTCATTTTCCCTTTCAAAATTAAAGGCCAAAATTAAAGATTAGATAGAGTTCCAAAAACAGGGTTTCCCAAATTCCGTTCCTCAAGAAAAGTTAATAGGTATTCTGCAAATAAAAGATTCTGTGGCCAAATAAGTTGGGGGAAAAATACATACTTATATCCCTTACTTGGAAATTTATAATGTTTTAGCATATTAAAAGCTCTGAAAAGTCCTGTTTTAAAAAACAGAAAAAACTGTTTTATTTTATAAATTTGGGCATTTACCAAATTTATTTACCAATAACAATGTGGGGGGAAACATCTATTAACACCTGATGGAACACTGTTAAGGAAACCTAGAACAGAAAAATCTTGACAGAGCTTCTCAAGGATGGATAGCATCCCAGTCACAACATAGGTAATTCCAAATTCATCTGGAAATTCTACTTTTACAATCTTTCCCAATTAAAAACCACAAGTCAATTTTTTTATGATTACCTAATGACTGAAATGGAAAGCAAACTGAGCAACCAATAGTGAATAAATTGGCATTCCAATTTAATCAATAATAAAAAATGTAATAGGCTGATTAATGAGGTGCTAAAACTTGGTTACATGATCAGATTCAGTTACATGTTCACCCATTAACTTCTGGGTTTGGCAAAGGCACTAGTGCTCTTTCAAACACTAAAGAACAGATTCAGCATTGCATCAAAATTTTCAGCCCAAAGGATGGTTTAATTGCTTCAGGAAAAGAACCAGTAAGCAAAAAATCAGAATTCAAGAGAAGGGTATAAGCACTAATGCTGGGTCCCAAAAATTACATAGCAGAACTGGCAGAAGTCATGAACAAAACAAGTTATGACCTAAACATAGTTCTTTGGCAGTGTTCATATATCCAGTATAAACATCATTACTGTTTCCTTTATCACTGGCAGCTATAAAAGACAACTCCTGGTCAATGATGACAACATGTCTTCTCATAATAAGGGGGCTAGAATGTAGAAACAAAGTAGTAAGAGAAAGAGGAAAATAAGATTATGAGTTCCCCCTTTTCTTTCTCAGTTCAAATTCATCTTTTCCCATGCTCCTGTTATCTACCTTCAAAATTCCATAGCCACTCTTAGACCCTGAAATATCTGATCTTTTGGATATTCCACTCATCTTCCCTTTTTTCCTTCAATCCTTAAGTTTCCTATTTCTAGCTACCTTTCAGAATTTTCAATTATGAGCCACAACACCACCAGAAATGAAGCAAGGTAAAGTAGAAGTTTCATAAGTAATTCAACACAAACTGCAAATTAACAGTGTCATTTGGAACAATATCACTTCCCTTGTAGAACAAATATAACCGTGTTTCTAAGTCATAATCTATCTTTTCGCTAAAACAACATGAACTATGAACGGGTAATCTCACCTGATGCTTCATATAATGATGCATATAGGGTGTCGCAATTTTAATAACTTTGAGGCAAAATGGACATAGCAAGTTCTTAGTGTTTTCATGGGATGCTCTGAAATGAGTTTCTACATCAGAAAATGATGACGATCTATAATTGCAAACCTACAAATAAAAAGAATGTTTAGCTTAAAGTGAAAATTTATATAATACACAATTACCAAGTAACAATAAATCATTTATTTATAAAAACATTATGTACAACTAATTCAGCTGTGATGCCTACACAACCAAGAATCCCATTAATGCAAGCACTAGAAGATAATCTCTGAGACAGAAAAGTTATCTTTCAAAGTTTAGGAATATTTCCCAAAATATAACTAGAGTCCCTTCTTTTCATTAGATGTTTTTATCTATTACCTCCTATCCTGACTTGAATTTTCAAGCTCTGACACCTCTTGTCCTATAAAGTTTTTTCTGCTACGTAAATCAGCATCTTCCTTTAGATTATAAATTGCCCCCAGTCTGTGGCAATGGCAATGGCAATTTATTTTTATCTTGCTTTCCTATTCCTTCAAATTCTGGAAAAATACTAGGCCCAGAGCATTTTGTAGTACCCTCTGTATCTAAAATCATTTATTTCCCTTGTATACCTATATTCTTCCCTATATGGTAAGATAAGTCCATATGTTTATCTTTTCCCCACAGGGCTTTTCTTTGTCCAGTACAGGAATGAGTCAACAATGGTTTGTGGGACAATTCCAACTCTCTACTGACCCCATATACAATACATGGAATTATGTCACAGGGCTTTCTACTAATAAGTTATTTACAGGAGGGATTTTAATTTTAATAACAAATTTTATCTAAATGGTTAGAAAAATAAAAGAATGTATTTCATGACAAAAGAAAATTATATGAAATTAGAATTTCAGTGTCTATAAATAATGCTTCATTGAAACACAGACACATTCATTCATTTACTTATTGTCTATGGCTGCCTTTGTGTTATAATGGCAGAGTTGATTAGTTGCAACAGAGACCGTATGACACTTAAAGCCTGAACATTTATTATCTTCCCCTTTATAGAAAATACTTGCTGACTTCTGGCCTAATAGGTTTAAATCTTATAACCAAAACAACAGAAACCAAACCAAACAAACACTAAATACACAATAAAAAATGTGTATACCTGGCAAATATATGGCATTTCACCGGGTTTATGATTGTCCTTCATATGTTGTAAAAGAATATGCTCTGTTTCAAATGATAATTCACAGATTTTGCAAATGGCTAAAAGTGTGGGGGGGAAGACATTACATCATTTCAAGATATATATATATGTATACACGCGCGCAAACACATATCAAATCATCATGTTGTACATCTGAAACTAATCTAATGTTATGTCAATTATACTTCAAAACATTTTTTTAATTTTTGTAATAAAGTATCCTCGTGAGGCAAAGATATATATATATATATATATATATATATATACACACACACAATTATTTTATGCATCTAATAACAATAATAATAGCAGAATTGGTGGTGGTGGTGAACAGTCACTTATACAGTTAACTATGTTCTAAGCACTTTACTTATATTACCTCACTTAATGCTCATAACAACATATGAAGTAGGTATTTCTATTATCCCCATTATTTAAAATATTAAGAGTAACTTGCCTGAAATCACACCGCTGTATTAAGAGGAAGATCTGGGACTGGAACCCAAGTGGTCTAGCTCTAAAATCTATGATTTTTAACTACCATGGTAGTTACTTTTCTCATTCAAGTTTAATAATGGGCATTGATATCATATTTTAAAATTAGGATCTGAAGCTCCTAATTTAGCCCCCCCACATATAACGCTCAGGTTATTTACCTTAATTACTTACAAGAGTGACTATAATTTTTGTAACTAATTTTATTTAAAATTTATATTCGTTGAAATGTAACGTTTTCCATTTTACCCTCAAATTCCAAAGTCTTTTTCTTACTCTTATTCTAACAAGCTTAAGGTTTTCTCAGAATTAATACTGACAAAAATCAATATATTCAATACTTAAATGTAACTTACTAGAAAATTCATGGGGGGTGTGTGTGCTTTCAATGTGACACTGCAGTTGAAATGGTGTGGGAAACTGACGGTAGCAGTGCTGGCAGGTGGTGTGGTTTTCCCAGCTTTCACTGCTCTGCTTCTCAAGTTCCAAATGGTGTTTCATGTGGTTCATAAACCTATAAATGATTGTCAGCAGGTGCAAAATTCAGATTTAAAAACAAAAGTCTCACAAATAAGCATCTGAATCTTAGACTATAGATATATCACTCAAAATAAAATCTCGAAAGCCTTAAATTCCTCTAGAAAAGTGTGCACTTTAGTCACTTTCATTAAGTGACTAAATAAACATCTTTTTATCTTTGTTTTAAAAATCCATTAATGTAATTAACCTGAAATATCACTAATTTGCTCTAACTTAATTTCAGATTATCAAAATGTTTTCTTAAGGTGAAACAGCAGGCTTCTTTTCCATACATGAAACACTATTTACATTTTTCAATAAAATACTGAAAGGAAGGAAACCCACCACCAAAAGCAGCTAGAGTCATGAGAGTAATCTTTTAAGGCTGTGAAGATATACAATAGATTCCATTGCTTAGAAGACAAATTACTGGTATTTTTACTTGTGTCTTCGTTTCTAAATGCATGTAGTAGCAATTTTAATGCCTACAATTACAAGAACCTTTTGTTTTATTTAATGATACTGGTTTACTGTTAGCACAGACTGTTCGTTTTAACTTGCAGACTGTGCCCTTTGTAGGCAAAGTCCATTTTTCAGTTTTACATTCTGCTATTTCAGCTTCCCTAAAAGGCTTCTTATGAGCAGGAACTATGACCTTCAACAGCAGAGAGTGCAATATAAAAGGGAATACCCATTTAAAAGAGCTTACTAAAGCTTTTTGCTGTAGTTGAAAGTAAAGTTATTCAATCAAAATAGCAATTTTTAGACTGGGGAAACTATTAACAATTATTCACTTTGAGTCCGTAAAAGAAGTAATCTTAAAACAAAGTGATGATGTCATCAATCTGGATAGCAAGCATCATGAAGGCAGTAACATTTACCATAACACACCCACAGCACTACTTCTCTCTAGACTAGGCTAAGACATACCTCAAAACACCTTTTTGCCCTCCTTTGGTTTTAATACAGCTCTATGAACATCTACAGAAAATCCTAGTCTTGGCTAAGTACACAGAGAGAAAAGAGAGCCATTAAAATTTCAGCTCACAACTTTCAGCAATGAAAGTGTATCTATATAAAATAATCTCTTTAACTAGCAAGCTTTCTCTGAATTATTATATGAGCCCCCATCAGGAGCTCATACTACTTAAAACAACATATGGAAATGAGGGAAACAAAAAAATCCAAACTTCTTGCAAGGATGTTCACAGAATAAAATAAACCTAAGTGTTTTTGGTGACAATGTAGGGGGGGAAAATACCATACCACACAATATGTTCATAGGGCAGAGAGGAGGAACCTATATCTATCAGTTTCTCACCATTCTCTACAAACATCAATTTGCTTTCCATTTTTTTACTATTAAGGTAAAATACTATTTAACATATGTAACTTCTTTTATTACCATGTGTTTCAGTAAGGTTACATTTACTAAACAATCAGTATTTCAAAAAATGCTCAATTCCTGGATGTTATCAAATGTCGTTGCTTAAAATGTCTATATATTCTGATATTCTAGAAATATGTAACTAGCCTTCTGAAACAATAAAAAAGAAATACTTTAAATGGGATAATCTTAAAGGAAAAGCCAAAAAACTGTTGCTGAAATAACTTCCAACATAAGATACATAATATTTTGGTACAACAAGGAACTAAGTCAGTGAACCATATTTCTATGCAATTTACTATATTTACTAACATAACTTTTCTGGTGTACTTTACTATTAAAATGGTAAGAATAGGGAAACATGTAACCTAGTTCTAGCGTAATATTGTTTCAGTGTTATATGACAAAGTACAGTATCTCTTCTGTTAAAAAGCTAGGACCGTTATCTATTGATGGCTGTTAAAGTTTAATGAAACGAGATAAATGTGAAAAGTCATATGAAATAATATATGTGAAAGAATTTTGAAAATTAAAACACTACCATAAACAAAGCATTAATAATTGCTATAGAAGTATAGCACAGTGTATTTCAGGATTTTTCTGTTTCTTTTTGAAACCAAGAGGAACTGACAGAAAAATAAAATAGACACTGGGTCCAAAAGTAACCTACTGATGCCTAAGAATGCTAATTATAAATAATAGTTATCAAGGGTAAAGATAAAAAGGCATATTTATATATGTTTGTGTATACACACACAGCCTCACCTAAGGGAAGTACACTAATGTTTACAACTTACTTTGAAATGCATACACAAAAAAATAGTTTGAAGGAAGGATGAATAGATATTTGTTAAATGTTAATGATAGAATCAAGGTGATAAGTATACAGGTGTCCACTGTAAAATTGTAAAAACGTTGCTGAATGTTTAAAAATATTTTATAATAAAATTATGGAAAAACCACCTTACCTAATATACATGTAAAGCTATATAACCAATGAAAAATATTGATCAATATATCTTGTTACTTTGCTCTTGTTACTAACTCATTTATAGTATGACAGCTACTAATTTGCCATGTAACACAAAGATTACAAAGTATAAGTTCCTAAATTTTAAAGCATACATGTATAAAATCTTCAAAATTCCACTGAAAATTAAATCTCTACTTTTTAAAGGGGTTAAATTTTAAAATAAAGCAGATATTCTTCCTAGAACTGCTACTTTTTTAAAGAAGGTCACTTTTTCTGCAAGGTAAATGTTCTAAAAATTATAAACATCAACTGAAAAATTTGAGTATTAAATAAAATTCATATGGAGAAGGCAAATTGGGCAAAACATAAAGAAGTGGTTCTGCCTGGCTGGCATGGCTCAGTTGTTGAGGGTCAACCTATGAACCACAAGGTCACAGTTCAATTGCCAGTCAGGGCACGCACCTGGGTTGCGGGCTCAATGCCCAGTAGGCGGCACACGGGAGGCAACTGATCAATGATGCTCTCTCACCACTGATGTTTCTCTCTCTCCCTCTCCTGCTGTCTAAAATCAATAAAAAAATTTTTAAAAAAGGTTCTTATAAAGAATAAAATTCAAAAGCAACTAAAAATAAAAATTATCTCATAAAAATTCCTAGATCACAGATAACATAGGAGAAAAAAGTTAATTTTGCTTTATTTGAAATAATATTCATCCTTTCTTAAGTTATTTTAAAGAAAAACAAGTAACTCCAGGAGTCAACTCTAAAATAAGAAAGGACAAAAGCTTTTCAACAGCTTTTGTTCTTAGTAGAAAGTGTTAAAAATCTAGAATGGCACAGAAAAATATAAGATGAACATAAAATTTTTACCTGCAGCATTCCAATTTTCAAATAGAAATAAAAATAAGTATTTACATACCTAATATTATTTTTAAGAATTTTCAAGCAACTGAAGCATTTAAAGGTTGTATGAGTCTTCTGTTCTTCCTGGGCATCTCCTTCATGCTTTCCATAATAAAAGTCATTAACTAACATGATCAATTTTCCTTTCTCTGAATCAATAGTCTTATTTTTATTTTCTGTACTTGAAAATTCTGTTTTAGCCAGTCCCAAAAAGTTATTTATCATGTCTGGACAACAGTACTGAAAGAGAAAAAAATAGAAGCCTTATTTATCCTTTAAAAAAAACAGATACCAAAAAAATTTTCTGTGTTTACATTTAAGGCCAGATCATGTAAAACTATGCTTGGTAATATAGCTGGAAAAATATTCACCAAAAGTTCGTGGTGCATATACATAGTCTAAAAAAATTCAAACAATAAACATCTATGACCTTAAACAAAAAAAGAAAAACCTTTAAGTCAGGACTTGCCTAAAAGTGTTTTCCTTGCAATTTACCGTTTCAGATGTATTTTTTAAGTAATAATTTAAATACTGAAATTAACTAAACTAAAAATCATTCACTCCATGTCCATGTCAAGATATAGAAAGGAAAATGTATATGTTAATTACCAAGTGACACAGTAAATTTCATAATATCTGGTTGGAACTGGACATTGAGCACAGCTAACCTGCAATTCCTCATATTCAAGGTGCTATATATAAAATGTATGGGGGAGAAAAGAAAGAAGCATCAATTATGTCTTGAAAACTTAGTTACATCTTGAAACCTAGAATGATTAAATATTTGATGGGGAAATTTAGTTCCTCATGAGTAAAACAAGATGTTACATAAACTGGTTTTAATGTGGAACACTTTCATACATGAGCTTTTCCCCCCAACAAAATGTAACTAATTCATTTACATAATTTTTAAATGTAGAATTTCTTTATGGCAGAGTTTCTCAGAGGAAGACCTGCATTAGAAAAACCAGAAGTGCTAGTCAAAATGCTAATTCCTGGGCCTACTTCAGACCAATAAACCACACTATCAAGAGGTAGACCCCAGAAATCTTTATTTTTTAACAGCCATGCAGGTAATTCTTTTATAACATAAACCAACTGACTTAAACACTTCCTAAATGCGTTATTTAGTAAATCAGTAGTTACATCAGAGAGTTTGAAAATCTAAAAGCAGCTCTATTCCATTTCTAAGACAACAACATTCACTTCCTCTCCTGTCACAATGAAATGTTAAATCATCAGTAAACATTCTGCATCACATGAGAAGCTGGGCCTCTGATCCAAAACAGACCTATAGCATTTCCTTCAATTGCACTTATTTTGTTCACTTGTCAATTTTAAATCCTATAAAAGAAACCTCTGGCCCCCCAAAAAAGCCCATGAAATCTAAAATACATCGGAAAAAGAGGGGGGAAATAATGAATAAAATAGACCTAAAATGGGGGATAAAATTTACATTTAAGAGTTAGGTTGCACCATAAACTAAATCAGGGTAGATACATTAGTTCTCTAATACAATATGATCCTCTGCAGTCCACTACTAAGAATAAATACAACTGAAATGAAACCACAACAAAAAGAGGAAAATGAAAAAGGCTTTTCTGTATTTTCTAGATTCTTCTTGAGACACATAATATTTAAGAGCTCAAACTTAAGAAAGTCAAATTATTTCTAAGGAGACTTTTGCCAGGCTAAGTTTCTTCTTAAAAGTACTGTTTTGACTTTAGGTATAAATGGAGAAAAAGGTGGTTCAGAGTAAATCTACCAGCACCATCAGAAAAACCATTCAAAATGTATGTCTTACTACAAATGATATTATCAGTAGCATCAGTCTGACGAACTCTTCACCTTATCTAGTTTTACTAGAGAGGATCTCAAACAATGAGAAAAAATTACAATGCATAAAAATGATGTAATACAGGATAGTCTTCCCAATTAGAAATGTGGAAAATCTTATATACTCAAACATTAAATCTGGCTTTCAGACTGTAAAAGTTATTCTGAGTCATATTTGATACTTGATCCTTTTCTGAAATCTAAACAATAATCTAGTAATCTATAGAAGAGTGTGAAAGGTTTACATTCTTTAAAAATGTCTAGTTTGGTACATCTATAAAAGTTAAATTTACCCTAAATACCCATAAATTATGATATGTATAATAGATGATCGATTGCTTGCTGGTTTGGGGGTTTTTTTACAGAAAAGATAGAATCGGATTTTTAAAATAAAAATACATTCACAGTATCTTTTAAACAAGGTTTCATATTCCTATAAAATAGCTAAATTGATAAACTACTGACAACTAAGAATGGACAAGATGAATTGAAATAGGTTAAAGGATTAATAACTGAGAGGACAGCAAAATATCCTAAACAAAATATTCAAAAGGGAAGGCAGCAACTGAATAAATGAGAACTAGTTTTAGATTTAAGGTTTTATAGGACAGGGTAAGTTATGGATGGCATGCCTGACCTATAGTCCAGGATCAACTGGTCATCTTGATAAAGCCCTAGCCCTTCAATATTACCCCTGGTTTATCCCTTCTTTTCCTGGGTTAGACATTCTGCAACATTAAAAACTTTATTGCCATATTCTACAATCTGACAAGTAGCAGACACTATCTAAACATCATTCTCATTTTCATTCCTCCCAGTTGATAGACCATGTTCTGTTGCTTTGTTAGTACCAAACAATTTAGGTAAGATTTTCAGAGCAAAGAAGGTGGACACCATTTTTAAATAATAAAATAGAACTTCCCCATATGATCATCCTACATAAGTCAACATTTTCCCCTTTCCTTCTGGGATTCACCCAAAAGCCACAACAACCAAATTCTAAAAATTGTATTTTCATTGAAACTAAGCAGCAGATAAAATCCAGACTCCACAATATATGAAAGCAATACTCAAAGCAGCCAAGTTCAGACAGAAAACATGGAGTCTGAAGTAGATCAGAGCAGTCAAAAGAGCCCAATAGTGACAGATCTTAGAAAGCCTCAGCAAAAATATACATTCTAAAGGTGAAAAACACATACTGAAGTACAAAGCTATATCCTTTGTTTGCAAAAATGGGTATAGAAGCTGGCACAAGAAGGATGGCAGAAGTCCCCCAGGCCTCATTTGGTACAGAGAAGTAAAACAGGCAATGCTACATATAAAATCAAACACACAAGTCACACTTTCAGGAAGCCTTTTATCCAGCAAAGAGTAGTACGCTGTGAGATTATCCTGGTAACCTATGCTTTCCAAAAGGAGCCCTGCACAAAACAGCTAGCCCAAGAAGTCTAATTTGTTCAATGATAGGAACTTATAGCTAAACAAAAATATCTTAAGATACAAAGGAGGAAAATGTAAATTTCTGACAAAAAAACTACAGAGCAGATGCTACCAGGCTAACATTTTTGCCTCAATTTGTAAAAAAAAAATAAAGCAATTATGTCTATTTGGAAGATCACAGGGGCAAGAGGAGATGGCAAGGCAAAAAGAAGATATAAAAAAGTGGCAAAATTGAGGGGGGAAATCAACTTAGAGAGATAGAGACAAATTAGAATGGAATATAGTGGTGAATACACACTGGAAAATAAAATAAAATAAATGACACAGGCTAGTAATAAGAAAAGCATATAATTTTTTTTTTAAAGAAAGAGTTAAAACTATTAGAAAGAAAATGACAAATATGCAAGACCAAAAACATCAAACAAATATACTGGACTACACCCCCTGCCAAACAAAAGCAAAAGATTATGTAATAAATATTTAAAAATACAAATCAAGAAAACTGCACTAAAATAAAGGAAGACACCAGTATACAAGTTGAAAGAACATGTCTTTTGACATGTTGAAGACTGACACAAAATTCCCAGCACTAAGTCAGGTTAATATAAAACTATCAGTCTTCCAAAATAATAAATCTTGTGAACAGCAAGGCCAAAACGTCAAATCACTTATGAAGGGCAAAATAATTCAGGCTTATCCCGGATTTCTCAACAGCAACATTCAATGTTGTAAAACTGGAGCACACCACCAAGATCATCAGATTGGGATCCAACTTACTTTATATCTGACCAAACTTTTATAAGAATGGACTACAGTGAACACGAAAGAACTCAAAGAATGCTGTTCCCAGGAACTTCTCCAGGAAATTACTAGAGAATAAACTTCAGCCAAACAAGAAATAACCAAAGAAACCATGACAAAAAAACTGATGATGAACACTAAAGGATTCAGACAAATGTGGAAATAAGGTTAAGAAAATCGAATGCAAATGTAACATACCCTGACAACGGAAAAATGATACATCCAACAAATAAAAACTGGGAGGAGGTAAAAGGACAGTGAATATGAGGTTGAGATAGTTCAGAGACTGTCACATACATGCTAGCAGCACATTAAGGAATGTTATTTAGAGCTATCAAATAAAGTAGTATAAGTATGAGCATTTTTAATAGTACAAAGGTAGACTCTCAGGTAAAATCAGGTAGGAGAGGAGATGTAAGAATAATCCAACAGGTTAAGAATAAAAAATTTAATGCTACTTTAAACAATTTTAATAGTAGAGAATGGCCAAAGGATAGAAGACTACTGGAATTATATTAATGTTAAAATTATGAGGATAAACAAGAGAACAAAAACAAAACTTCCCTAAAAATCCAAACTACATATATTTATACAAAGCGACCACATAGTGAAGAGACTTTTTCAAAAAACAGGATAACAAAAAAATTGTGACAGAACCAAGACCAAATAAATCTATCATATCAAAAAGTATGTTTAATAAATAAATTTAACTCAACTACTAAAACAAAAAAGATTTTTATATAGGATCACAAAGGAAACAACAAATCTGCTGAAGCAAGATATACTTAAAACAGTGATTCAGAAGTTTTGAAAATAAAAGGATAAACAAAGAATGTATGTATCAGCAAATGGAAACCATAAGGAAATAAGAATTGTAAACCTAAAAAGGCATTAAACATTATGACAAAAAAAAGACATTTTATAAACATGCTGAAGGATGCATTTACAACACAGTTATGAGTTAGATTTTATTGCAAACAGCAGCAACAATCTTAAAATGGAAGTATACAATATAGCAAAGAAAATACTGGTAATTAAAGATGTAGACTGAGATATTGTGCTTCTCAATCCATGACAGATCAAGCAGGAAAAAATAAATGAAGATATAAAAATATAAGTAATGTAATTAATAAGCTAGATCTGATTGATAATATAAAATTCCATACCCCTAAAAAAAATACAGTATACCTACTTTTAAGTTTCCATGTAACATTAAATTGCCCATACACTTTTCAAAATGGAAAAAGTTACTTGTGAGAACTTGGGCTTCATTTACTAGCTATAAAAAAATGAGAGAAAAATGCCTATCTCAAAGACTTTTCTAAGAATTAAATAAAATAATGTATTTAAAGCTTAGTAGTCTCAGATTATTCTTATTACTGTAGAATATTTGACTTATGTTTTATATATTCTTCATTTAAAAAACATTTCTGTGGTACAGCAAAAACCATTTACAATCTAAAAATTATTTTTTCAAAATGGAAATTATTTATTTTAAATATTTATTTTTATTTTTTATTTATTGATTTTAGAGAAAGAGGAAGGGAGGGGGGAGAGAGAGAGAGAAACATTGATTTGTTGGTTCCACTTACTTACCCAATCATTGGTTGATTCTTATGTGCCCTAACTGGGGATTGAACCCACAACCTTGGCGTATGGGGATGATGCTCTAGCCAAATGAGCTACCCACTCAGGGAAATTCAAAATGGAAATTATTATAATACTAAAACTTTAACTGATATATAAAATGCGTAAGCTAGAAGGTAAAAATTCTACATACTTTTAAACCTCCCTGTCCTAAGGTAACTATGATATAAACACACAATAAATTATCATATTAGAGTCAACTTAGTTCAATATATCTTAGAGACCTTCTGATATCATTATCTATTATAGAAATTCATCTTTTAAAAAATGCTGCATAAGGTTCTATTATATGAATATTGTATGAAGTTTTTATTGTTTCTAATATAGTAATCACAAATTATGTTATAATACATTTTGGAAGTAAAGCTACATTTTGGAAAACAATTGCCAGTTTCCCCAGGTACAGAATATGTATAATATGGTACAACTTGTATAGGTACATAAGAGACGGGTAAGATTTTTCATTTGTATGCCTTTGTAAACTGTTATAGTTTTAATCATATGACAATTATCTACTCAAATAATTAAATAAAGATAACAAAAGAATTTAACCCTTCTATTTTTATCCCATCCAAATTGCAAAATATTAAAAAATCAGGTATCTCATCAAAACGTAACATAGATAGGAAAACTGAAAGCACTTGTACAGGTTAATTCTCATATAAGAACAAAGCACAATGTACAGTTATCAGGGACTACTCTAGGAGCTGGAATTACTGACAGTCAAAATATAGTGTTGAACATGAATAGACTGTATTTATAATTCTAAAAATGTTACCTTTTTTCTACATTTTTAATAAAATGTTAAATTTCAAAAAAAATTGTCAATCTCTGAAATAGTGAGCAAGAACTTTTCCTTAGTTATTTCTCCGGCAACTGCATCCTTCTCTTTCCTTTTCTTCATATGATCTACACTGCCTTTTTTTTTTTCTTTTACCCCTTCCTGACATTTATACTGGGCATGTAAAGAGAATATAGGCTATCTTTACACAGAGAGCAGAATGCTATATCTAGTAAAATATTTTAAGTGTTATCTAAACCTCGTGTTTCATTTGTACTTTGAAAATTTCTTAAAATCTAATTTTAAGAGCTTCCTATACAATAAAAAGCTCAAATTATTTTGTAACAATTACACAAACAATATTCTGGACTGAGTTTAAACAATTATTTCATATGAAATGCTCCACCACTTGGATTTTATGTTTGAGTGTTGAAAACTAAATGTAAAACTCTTGATTTTCATAGTGCATTGTGACATGTACATGTTAGCACAGAAAAAAATAACTGATGAAACTGTTAAGTTATATAAAATGTTATAACAAAATGCCTGTTTTTTAAAGTTTGAAGCAAGACATAATCTAGCAAATAAAATAATCTGATTAATGCATTATTTCCATTTAAGTTAGAATACAATAAGCTTACATTAAAATGTATATGAACTTAATTTTTAAAATTTAATGATTCAGAAGGAATTTTAAAATCTATAAAGATAATCATTATGAATATAAATTGTTACCGGTTATATGGAAATATCAACCTGAGATTTCTTATCTAAAATAGCTGAACCATTATTTACTATAAATCAGTATTTTAGGGATTTGCAAATCTTTTTAAAACCAAATTTTGAAAAAGTTGTACCTTCATGTGATTTTTCAAAGGATCCAAAAGATTGAAATGAATATTGCACTTTGGACAAGCTCTTGGAAAAGGTGTTCCATTTTTAGATTGATTTGATGAGTTATTTGTACCTAAAATAAATTCAAAAGATATGATTCAAGATTTAGCACTTTTAAACATTAAATACCCACTAGTAGTTTGTAAATTTACTTCAATTTCTAAATTATATGTATACATTTCTTTTTCATATGCGACATTTCATATTTACCTTTTGATGACATAGCCTGGGGAGATGTCACTGAAAGAGATTTAGCTGAAGGAAATACAGCTGAGGAATTTGCTCCAGAAACACCTTCACTGGGCTTAGGCTTTTTTGGATTAACACTGTTTACTTCAGAAGTAGAAGGACGTTTTGATAAAAACGAACTTTCGTTAACACCTACAATAATTTAAACAGTGGGGGGGGAAATTTAAACACTTTAGAATATTGCTTACAACTAAGTAAAAATACTTTGAAGCTGAATTAAAGGTGTTATCATATTACAAATGACAATAAATGATAAAGATTGATGTGATTAAGTCAGGGGATATAGAAAAATTGTGCAAACATCTATTTTGGATTATATATACTCAAATAATTCATAAAATAATCTTTCTACACAAGAAAATACTAAATATGGCTCTGAATAAACACATAAACAGCTACGATGAAAAAAGTCAAACCAAAACATCCCCAGCAAAAAAAAAAAAAATTAAAGCACAGAGAATACTCTGAACTAAGTTCCTACAAATGAATTACCTTTAGATGGTTAAGAACATTAACGTTTGTTAAAAAATATAAATATATATTTATTCTAAAAATTTAGAGACCCTTGCCTGGGCCAGTTCCGAAAGGTCTGGTCCATGCACCGAAAGGTCTCAGGTTTGATTCCTGGTCAAGAGCACGTACCTGGGCTGCAGGTT